TTACAGGATATCTAGAACACTCACAAAAACCACCTGAAGTCCTCTGGCAGTAGAACGCAAATAATCTTTTTAACTTATATTGTATGATTATTGAGAAAGCCCACATTCAGCTTTCAAAGTTGCAGGTAAAGATACCTAATCAGGCTTGCATTTCTGAAAAGTATCATATACAAATACACATTTTATTCTTTTATAATGTGCAAATAAGAAACGAAGGGGAGGAATTACAGGCAGTTGATTAGTGAATGATATTCTGCTCTACATCTATCAATTAACAGAGCTATAGAGCTCAAACAGACTAAACAAGGGTACGGCTGTTTTCTTCCTATGCTTTCACAGCATTGCAACAGGTACACGTGAAGTTACATATTTTGTTGAATTAGAACCTACACCTTTTGCAGAAATCAGAACATGAATGAAATCAAGCTGTTGTAAATCAAGACATCTGTAAAATTGCTGACAATCCAGGGTAAAAAAAAAAAAAAAAAAAGGAGAGTACAGAAGAAATTACATGTGTATACACAACCGGGTGTGTGCAACTCCTGAAAAAAAACCCAAATAAATTTACCTTGTTGTGACAGAAACCATTCTATGATTCCATGATAAATGACAGGCCTGCTAATGCCTGCTACAAGACACCCAGTCACTGGAGTTTCTCCCTCAGCACCCAGAGCTATGGTGAAGAGATTGCATTACAGGGGACTTCATGCTCTGCAACTTTGGAAATGCATCAGTAAGTGACAGCTCTAAAATATTCACACACTTTTAAAAAACTGTGTTGTAAAAAGGTTAACTGTTCCACCTACAGAAAGGAAAATGTTTAGAATCCCTCTTCTCAGTTAATGAAAGGGCATAAAAAATAAAGTGGAGATGTTCCTTAGGTAGGTGTGGACCTCCAGTGACTTAAGAAAAACTAAATTCAATTTATTAAATAAAAATGACATTTTGTTTAGCTAGCTAGAAAAAGCTAGTGTCACAAAAAAAAAAGTAAAATCCACTAGAAGTACAGAACTGCAACAATGAAATTGGTCTCATTAGGTGAAAGTGATAAAAATACAAAAATGTAGAAGAAAACCCATGAAAGATGACCAAATATTTCTATTCATTAGTTCTGAGAATATCAAGTGAGATACATTTCACAATGAAAGTCCTCTTAATCCAATAGGGCTAAACACAAATGACTGAATGTGGATATTTTAGATCAACAAGACTTGATACATTTTAGTCAAGATTTTAAAAACAGCTTATTGAATTTCGTGCTGGTGAGATACAACAATGGAATGGACAATGTAGAACTTTGAATAATTAATATTTAAAAGAAAGCTGTACTTATAAAAATTAGTATTTATGTTTCAAACTAAGTATAAACTTTTAAAAATGAAATGATGAGTGTAACTTGTAAAGGTTATAATGTTAATAAAAGTAAGGTATAATTACCAGCCCTGTGCAATTAAACTACTTTATCGATGCTCTTCAAGCAATTCTTAACAAAAACTGCTAGTAAGATTTTTAACGTTGACACAAATACTATGAGAGTAACAGAGTCAACACAGGTCCCTGACAGTGAGCAACCCCAGATACCTGGGTGCAAGCTTACAACGTCTGGCTCATTACAGCCAAATGGAAGGCTACTACACCCCAACAAATGCTGGCCTTATGGTGCAGAGGGCCATCTTGCAAAGCAGTAATTCTGAAAAGACTTAGTCACAATGCTTGTGGCCTTAGAAATACCTGCTAGAGATTCAGTAACAGATGAACAGATTTTTGTAACAGAAAGTAGTATCACAGTCATCATCACCTAGTTTAAAATCAGCTGTGTATGCTGCTTCTTCTCATGGTCTGTTTCTCATGTAGCCAGACAAAATAATCCAAAGAGTTTATTGCTTTATAATCTCTGAATTAAGCACAACTTGTTCCAGCCTATCCCCTCTTAATTTTCTGCAACAGGAAATTAAAACATGAATACTCCCATAGAGTAAATAGAAAAAAATACCTATAAAGACTCCAAAGGACATGAAAGGTACAATAAAACTATTAATCAGAATTTCCCATGAATAACATTGAAGCAAAACAAAATATTTTTTGCTACACAATTTTAGCAAGAGGGCTAAGTTGTACGCATATGCTTTCCAAGTAGGTTAATGATGGTCATTTAATCCTACGTTCAGCAACAAGCATCATTTCCACTGCCCTTACTTTCCCAATTTGAATTAAAAGCTAAATTCCAAAGACAACAAAATTAGCTAGTGACTTTGGTAAGTTTTCTAGACACAGAATAAATTTATACTTTCTGGTACATTTGTTTTACAGTTGTGAAATGCTTTAACAATGAAACCAGCAAATGTAAAACTCAATTTTATGTTATAACTACCAACTACTTTACAATGGTAACACTGGTCTTCATCAGTTTATTGTATCTATCTGTTACATTTGGTGATGAGGGATTTTTACAGTGATGCATTGTACTTCATCAGACTAACAATGTATCTCGGGGAAAAAAAAGTCTGACACATAGTAGTCTACTTCAGGTATGGAACAGAATTCAAGCAATTGAGTTTCAACCACAGCCAAAAGCCATGTTTCATTTCAAAACCATGCAAGTGTTTGTTAAAAATATTATTGTGGATACCTAAGGAAAGCAGGTATTAAGCAGTTTTCTTTCTTTCCAGGGAATAACTTTCAGTATGAGAAACTGCTTTGGGACAAAGTCTGAACTGGATGAGTTACAAGTAGAATGCTCAATCGACTGGTAATACATGATGTGAAATAGTTCAAGAAATTAAGATATTCAGAAATTATACTCTTTGTTATAATGCAGAAAAACCATAACCTCTGCAGGTGCTAAATTTGTAGGAATAACAACACAACTACATCCTAACTGGCTTTCAAAATGCCTTTCCCTCAATATTAGACCTATTGCTTCCACCTTTAATGGGAGAAAATCTTTACATTCTTCCTCACTTCAGACCAGGTCCCTGAACTAAGACGCATTTAACATCAACCGTGATTACTTGGTGGATCTAGCTGGAAACAAAACCTTCAAGTGCTTCCCTCACTAGTTGTAAGTAGTGATCAACAAATTAACAGATTTTACGTAATGCAATAATCTTAATTCGTAACACTGGGAGCATAGCAGAGAATATGGGAAAAGCAATTTAAAAAGATAATCTGACATCTCAGTTAATCTCCATACTATCCTCAAACAGAAGCCTTAGGTCAGGATGAAAAAAGGCCTTTTTCATCTTCAACCATTTGATCACTAGAGTTTCTGTTTAGTAGATATGCCACCCCTGCAACCCACAACAACTGGTGTCCTCTTCCTGTCACTTGTGCTCTCAGTGAGAACCTTTGCCATCCTTTCCTCACTTGACAGCCAGCTACTTTGGAGTCCCATCTCCACTACATCATCCAGTTCAGTCTGCAAAATCAATGACCACACAGCACCTGCACCAGAGTGCCTTCAGAAGGAATCCTGTGAACAG